CGGGGAGCCTCAGGGGTGTGGGTGCCCCCAAAGATGGGGCCTGGGGGTTCAGGGGTCTGGTGGCCTCAAACATGGGGCCTGGGTGCCCCCAAAGATGGGCCCTGGGGGTTCAGGGGCCTGGTGGCCTCAAAGATGGGCCCTGGGTGGCCCCAAAACATGGGGGCTTAGGGGCCTGGGTGGCCCCAAAGATGGGGCCTGGGGCTTCAGGGGCCCTGGTGGCTTCAAAGATGCAGCCGGGGGGGGCGGGGAGCCTCAGGGGTGTGGGTGCCCCCAAAGATGGGGCCTGGGGGTTCAGGGGTCTGGTGGCCTCAAACATGGGGCCTGGGTGCCCCCAAAGATGGGGGCTCAGGGCCCTGGTGGTCTCTCAGATGCAGCTTGGGAGGGAGGGGGGGCTCGGGGGCCTGGGTGCCCCCAAAGATGGGGGCTCAGGGGCCTGAGTGGCCCCAAAAGATGAGGCCAGGGGCTCAGGGTCCTGGTGGCCTCAAAGATGGGGCCTGGGGGTTCAGGGGCCTGGGTGGCCCCCAAAGATGAGGCCGGGGGGGCTCAGGGTCCTGGTGCCCTCAAAGATGGGGGTTCAGGGGCCTGGGTGGCCCCAAAGACGGGCCCTGGGGGTTCAGGGCCCTGGGTGCACCCCAATATAGGCCCTGGGGGCTCAGGGCCCTGGTGGCCCCAAAGATGGGGTGGGGGGGGGCTTCAGGGGCCTAAGTGCCCCGGGCCCTGGTGGTCTCTCAGATGCAGCTTGGGAGGGAGAGGGGGGCTCAGGGGCATGGGTGGCCCCCAAAAATGGGGGTTCGGGAGCCTGGGTGCCCCCAAAGATGGGGCCAGGGGGGCTCAGGGCTCTGGTGGCCTCAAAGATGGGGCCTGGGGGCTTGGGTGCCCCCAAAGATGGGGCTTGGGGGGGATGGGGGAGCACTCAGGGGCCTGGGTGCCCCCAAAGCTGGGGCCGGGGTCTCAGGGCCCTGGTGGCCTCACAGATGGGGTGTGGGCTGGACAGGGGGGCTCAAGGTCCCTTTTGGGCCTGTGTAGCCCCAAAGATGGGGGCTCAGGGACATTTTAGGTCCTGGGTGTCCCCAAAGATGGGGCCAAAGTTGTGACTCAGGGGCCAGGGCAGCCCCACAGATGAGGCCTAGGGGGGCTCAAGGGTCTCTTTCAGAGATGGGGTCTGGGGGAAGGTATTGGTAGCCCAAAAGATGGGTTGGGGGGGGCTTGGGGGGCCATTTAGGTCCTGGTCAGCCCCACAGATGGGGTCTGGGGTGCTCAGGGTCCCTTTGGGGCCAGGGCAGCCCCAGAGATGGGGTCTGGGAGGGTTTAGGGCTTCCTTGAGGCCAGGGCAGCCCCACAGATTTGGGCAGAGGGGGGGCTCAGGCTTCCTTTGGGGTCAGGGCAGCCCCACAGATGGGGACAAGGGGGTCTGAGTGTCCCTTTGGGGCCTGGATAACCCCATAGATTGGTATTGGGGGTCTCGGGTCCTGGGAAGGAACAGGCAGCCCCACAGTTTGGGGGTGGGGGCTCACAGGGTCTGGTCAGACCCATAAATGGAGGTGGGGGTCCCCAGGGTCTCGTGGGGCCTGCACAGCCCCACAGGTTGGCACTGGGGGTCTTGGGGGGGCCTGGTTCCCCCCTGTGGGACTGGAGGAGAGCAGGGAGGCCCCATAGAGAGGGTTTGGAGGTTCTGGGGCTCCCCCAAACCCCCTGTGGGGCTGAAGCTGGATATGATGGAGTGCAGTGGGTCCGGTGAGGGGGGGAGA